AAAAAAAAAAATAAATAAAACATAAGAGAAAGGTGAGTGAGAATCAATTTAATATATATATAAAATTGATTTTATAATAGTCGTCAGAGATTCCCCATCTGTTTGGTGATGCAGCCATCTTCCACCCAGGTTTTACTGTCACCTCAGCAAAAAGAATTAAAAAAAAAAAAAAAAGCAAAGATAAACTAACTTAATGTTAGAAAAGGCTAGCCACCTTCCACTAGAATTTTATAACTGCTCTTGGAATAAGGTCCAAAAGTCCTTAGGATGGGAGGTAAGGCCTAAGCAGGCTCCTGTTTTCCTGTATGGCATCGCTTCTCACCATTGCCCCCATCAGCAGGGCACATACGTGTTATACTAAATTACTCAGAGACCCCTGAACATGACAGTTTCACATCCTTCATGCTTCTACATGTGCAATTCTACCCAGGGCAGGTCCTTCCCTTCTTCTTTACTTGCTAACTTCCTACTCGACAAGATCCAATGCTTCTCATTTCCTTGGAGAAACAGTCTCACCTCTTTCCCTCTCCTTTTTGTTGCTTCCTCAAATTTCTGTGGATAGCCCTGGCAGACCAGTGATCACACTGAATCACAACAGTCTTTTACTTGTCTATCTTTACCATTAGACTCCAAGTGCCTCAAATGCAGTGCCTGTATCTTTTATTTCTGTTTTTTTAGTGCTCCACACCAAGCCTAGTACCTAAAGAAGCCATTTGATAGATATTAGTTGAAAAAAGGAAGGAAATAAAAGGCAGAAGGGAAAGGGCCAGCCCATGGCTCACTTGGGAGAGTGTGATGCTGATACCACCAAGGCCCTATTTAGGTTCAGATCCCTATATAGGGATGGCCGGTTCGCTCACTGGGTGAGCGTGGTGCTGACAACACCGAGTCAAGGGTTAAAATCCCCTTACCGGTCATCTTAAAAAAAAAAAAAGGCAGAAGGGACAGAATCATAGAAACTGTTAAATCCTGCAACAGAGATTGTATGATTCTTTATGAATATCTTTAAGACCAGGATAAGGCCTGTTTTAGATAGGTCATAATCAAAGCTAAATAAGAAACAGAGCTGGATTACTTGAACTAAAAATGACCAGTCAGTCATAGGCCAGCCCGGGTCTAATATCATAAAGAAAATTACTGTGCTTCTTAAAGTTAAAAGTTCAAGACGATCATTTTAAATGAAATGTTAGTTCATATTTAAGCATAATTTTCAAAGCAATCATTACAATAGGACAATCATGACAGTATGAATCGAATTATCTTTTAATATGATTCAAGGAATAGTAAGAATAAAAAATTCACATTGGGAAAACCTTTATAAATGGAAAAATATACCCTTAACTCAGTAGTCATCTATATGCTAGGCTAAATCAATGTTAAAACCAATAAAAAATTCCACTCTGTAGAAGACCTGCATCATGCAAATTAATGGTGACTCACCTTGGATTCCTCACATCCAGCTGATAAATGTTTCCATCTTGTGTTCCAGCCAATAGCAAGAAGCCAGAGAGAAAAGTACAGCAGTTGAAGGCATCTGAGCCAATAAAGAGGAATACCTGGGAACAAGTAGGAGAAAAAATGCTGCATAAAGATTAATTTATTTCCAGGACAGTTGGCCAGTTAGCTTGGTTGGTTAGAGTGAGGTGTTATAACACCAAGGTCCAGGGTGTGGATCCCTGGACTAGCCAGCCGCCAAAAAACACAAAAGCTTTGTTTCCAGGAATAAACAGACACCAAAAAAGGGAAGATTTCATTATTTTTAGAGATATTTTCTTCCTTCCCCCTTTAAGCACTCTTGTACAATAAACTAAGCATTCACCAATAACTGAGAAAGAAGCACTCACAGGATTTCGTTGGCCGACGACTTGGGCAGTTTATGTAAAACCCTACTCTGAGACAGCGGTTTTCCGATTATTTCCCCTCAACACATTGACTCATAAGATCCTCACCACCAAATATCCTTCTTTCCCACTTTTCATTACAACCCTCCATCTGAGAAACCTGCAATTCCCTGATTTGAGTTTTACTTTCTCCATGTCACTTCCAGCAACCTTTTGAAGGGGGTTACTTTGTAGGAAAAGAAACAAGCTTAAATAAAGTGGCAATTGAAAAAATCCCAATTATCCCCATGTATCTGAAAAAGGAAATTATTAGATTTTCATTTACTCCTTACTGTTAGCTCAAACTGATCATTTCTTTCCAATGTTCTAAAAAGAAAAGAAAAAATAAAATAAAACAAATACACAAAAAAACCCTGAGTTCCCTTTAGAAGTAAAAACCAGCATGGAGATTCAAGTGCAAAGGCAGTATGAGCAAAAACAGTGATATTACTGGAACAAACCTGGAAAATGGAAACATCACCAGTACAATGAAGTAACAAGATGAAATGAAATTAATAAAGCCTGTAGCCAAACCAAATCATTAAAGTTGTCTGGATGATAATGACAAGAGCATAGTCTGCCCAGCGAAACCTCAAGGTTGAAGGAAGAAAATTCAACTAGTTCTTCTCTAAGACATTCTGGTCATTAATTGACTGAGAGCCCTGAATTTATGAGTCCTTTACTCAGAATGTCTTCACATTACTTTAGAGGTAGAAGCACCTATAAGAAAATCTGTACCTCATCACTTTACATATAGCACACTAAAGTCCAGAGAGGAAAAGTCACAAAGGTCACAAGGCAGTAGAGCATTTAATCCTTATCACATAACCTTATGAGATAAGTCCTATTATGCCCAGTTTAGTGATGAGGAAACTGAGGCTCAGAGAGGTCAAGTAACTTTTCCAACACCATAACCATTAATTGGAAGAGGTGGGATTTAAATGTTACCGTTATTCCAAATCCCATGCTCTTAATCACTAAACTGTACTACCTCTTACCCATTCAGCCTCTTCAAAAAGTGAACACAAGGGGCTGGCCCGTGGCTCACTTGGGAGAGTGCGGTGCTGATAACACCAAGACCACAGGTTCGGATCCTATATAGGTATGGCTGGTTCGCTCACTGGCTGAGCGTGGTGCTGACAACACCAAGTCAAGGGTTAAGATCCCCTTACCGGTTAACTTTAAAAAAAAAAAAAAAAAAAAGTGAACACAGGGAGCAAGTGAAATGTTTCCAAAACTTTCCAAGAATGAGAGTGACTGGGTTGCCTCAGAGTTCAAAGGTCTTATAGGAACCACTTGCCGGCTGCCTGCTCTGTAGTCCAAAGCATTGCAGCTTCTTATCTTCCCGGCCCAACAGCAGCATTTTCGCCTCGGTTCCAACCTCCCGCTCACCTGCGTGAAAGATGAGCTACGTTAATAATAGTTGGGCTGATCAGAGAGCAGTGCCCACAAAGCACAGATACGGATGGCTATTTACTGACTATACTCCATGTTAGTGATTCACTTATTAACAAAAAAAATAATTATGTTCTATATGTCACTGAGGTATTGTTTATGTGCATTTGTTAAAACTCATAGAACTGTGCAAAAAAAGTGACTTTTACTATATGTAAAATATAACTCAATAAACCCAACTTTAGAAACATTGGTTTTTTGTAATGTGATGAAACACTAGCAGCAGAAGTACAACGCTGAATAAAAGTCTCGGCCCTCATTGGCCTTAGTCTGAAAGAAATCAAATTTATTCATTCATTCAATAAATATTTATTGAGGGTCTACTATGTGTCAGACACTATTCTAGGTGCTGAGAGAGTAGTGATAAACAGACAAGGTGCTTACTCTCAAGGATTCTAGTGGAAAAAGACCACGGGTAAATAAACCGGTTAGGATAGTTTCAGAGAGTGATGAGTTCTAAAAGGAAATAATATAAAAATATCAAAAGTGAGTAGACAGTGGGAGGCTGGGTGGGGGAGGGTAATTTCAAATTTAGACTTCAACTTTCAAAAGGCTCTGTGGAGGTCACTTTTCAACTGAGACCTGAATGGTGAACAGAAACCAGTCATGTGAAGATATATTTCAGACTAAGGAAAGAAGATGACAAAAGCTTCTCCTGAGACTGAGAGTGTCTGCTGTGCTAAAAGAACAAACAGAACGCCTGTGGCTGGAATGCAGTGGGTCTGGCAGAGGGTGGTAAGACATGAGGCCGGAGAGGAATGCAGGGGTTAGAAAGTCTAAGAGTTTGTTGTAAGCCGTGCTAAGTGGTTAGGACTTCAAAATATATTTAAAGGGAGGACACTGGAGGGTTTTAAGCAGGAGAGTGATACGACTTGATTTGTGTTTTTTTTTTTTTTAACAACCATGATTGCTCTCAAGAGAATGGAATACTTATTGCCTCCCACATATCCCAGACAGGCTCACAGTGCTCACTGGCTGAGCGCGATGTCGCCGGGCTCAAAAAGGACAAAAAAAAAAAAAAAAACCCGTTTTAGGGCTGGCCCGTGGCGCACTCGGGAGAGTGCGGTGCTCGGAGCGCAGCAGCGCTCCCGCCACGGGTTCGGATCCTATATAGGGATGACCGGTGCGCTCACAGCGCTCACTGGCTGAGCGCGATGTCGCCGGGCTCAAAAAGGACAAAAAAAAAAAAAAAAACCCGTTTTAGGGCTGGCCCGTGGCGCACTCGGGAGAGTGCGGTGCTCGGAGCGCAGCAGCGCTCCCGCCACGGGTTCGGATCCTATATAGGGATGACCGGTGCGCTCACAGCGCTCACTGGCTGAGCGCGATGTCGCCGGGCTCAAAAAGGACAAAAAAAAAAAAAAAAACCCGTTTTAGGGCTGGCCCGTGGCGCACTCGGGAGAGTGCGGTGCTCGGAGCGCAGCAGCGCTCCCGCCACGGGTTCGGATCCTATATAGGGATGACCGGTGCGCTCACAGCGCTCACTGGCTGAGCGCGATGTCGCCGGGCTCAAAAAGGACAAAAAAAAAAAAAAAAACCCGTTTTAGGGCTGGCCCGTGGCGCACTCGGGAGAGTGCGGTGCTCGGAGCGCAGCAGCGCTCCCGCCACGGGTTCGGATCCTATATAGGGATGACCGGTGCGCTCACAGCGCTCACTGGCTGAGCGCGATGTCGCCGGGCTCAAAAAGGACAAAAAAAAAAAAAAAAACCCGTTTTAGGGCTGGCCCGTGGCGCACTCGGGAGAGTGCGGTGCTCGGAGCGCAGCAGCGCTCCCGCCACGGGTTCGGATCCTATATAGGGATGACCGGTGCGCTCACAGCGCTCACTGGCTGAGCGCGATGTCGCCGGGCTCAAAAAGGACAAAAAAAAAAAAAAAAACCCGTTTTAGGGCTGGCCCGTGGCGCACTCGGGAGAGTGCGGTGCTCGGAGCGCAGCAGCGCTCCCGCCACGGGTTCGGATCCTATATAGGGATGACCGGTGCGCTCACAGCGCTCACTGGCTGAGCGCGATGTCGCCGGGCTCAAAAAGGACAAAAAAAAAAAAAAAAACCCGTTTTAGGGCTGGCCCGTGGCGCACTCGGGAGAGTGCGGTGCTCGGAGCGCAGCAGCGCTCCCGCCACGGGTTCGGATCCTATATAGGGATGACCGGTGCGCTCACAGCGCTCACTGGCTGAGCGCGATGTCGCCGGGCTCAAAAAGGACAAAAAAAAAAAAAAAAACCCGTTTTAGGGCTGGCCCGTGGCGCACTCGGGAGAGTGCGGTGCTCGGAGCGCAGCAGCGCTCCCGCCACGGGTTCGGATCCTATATAGGGATGACCGGTGCGCTCACAGCGCTCACTGGCTGAGCGCGATGTCGCCGGGCTCAAAAAGGACAAAAAAAAAAAAAAAAACCCGTTTTAGGGCTGGCCCGTGGCGCACTCGGGAGAGTGCGGTGCTCGGAGCGCAGCAGCGCTCCCGCCACGGGTTCGGATCCTATATAGGGATGACCGGTGCGCTCACAGCGCTCACTGGCTGAGCGCGATGTCGCCGGGCTCAAAAAGGACAAAAAAAAAAAAAAAAACCCGTTTTAGGGCTGGCCCGTGGCGCACTCGGGAGAGTGCGGTGCTCGGAGCGCAGCAGCGCTCCCGCCACGGGTTCGGATCCTATATAGGGATGACCGGTGCGCTCACAGTGCTCACTGGCTGAGCGCGATGTGGCCGGTCTCAAAAAGGACAAAAAAAAAAAAGACATCTTAGTTTAGTTTGAAAATCAGATCCTGTTACTTCCACTGAGAACTGATTAAAAGAGTTAACCTTCCCATCCTAAAAAAGGACATGTTAAGAAAAATAAAAAATAAAAATAAAAATCATTAAAAAAATTAGCGTTGGCCAGTTAGCTCACTTGGTTAGAGTGTGGTGCTGATAACACCAAGGTCCAGGCCAGCCAAAAACAATAACAACAATTTAAAAAAGGATGCAACTTCTGGTTTTGGCCAAGACGGAGTAAACCCTTTGCTCACAGGTTCTTCCATTCACTACTGAAAAAACATGGAACTAGAGAATAAGAAGACTCTGAAAGATGGAAAAAAAGGCAGCAAACTACCTAGGGACCTCGGGACTTGAAGAACACCACAGCTAGTTCCCTGGATTTCCTTATTGCCTCCCACATATCCCAGACAGGACAATGCAGAAGCCTCTAACACGGAACTGCCAACAGGCACTACTTTCTTTTTTTGTTTTTTGTTTTGG